AACTGAAGACACACAAGCTTAGCATGTTTCAGTTTCTCAGGAAAAATGTTGAAGGAGTTTAAAGGAATCAAGATAGATTGGATGGCTGTTGCTATGTACAGTACAATCAGCTCAGTAAATGGTGTAGTAAATGGTGTAGTGATATATTACTGTAATTATAGAAACTGACTTTCTGGCATAGCCACATTTCCAAATCAAGTGGCATCTCCCATCTTGTTTGCGCCATGATTATTTCTGCTTTGTTCCACTGGCTGGTAAATCATTCCAACTCTCATTGTGTGGAAGGTTCCTATTTTCAATTTTTATAAATTTTGCCGCTATCCCAGCACAATTTTGAGATCTTAAACATTTCTGAAGTTATGATACTATTAAGAAGGTGTAAAACTTAAGTTCATATCTTGGGTGGAGTTTTGTCTCATTTGGTATACAGACTGTGGTTGGAGATGTCAGAGCAATGTGTCTTATCTATGCAGTTTTAATCTTTGACTGTCAAAAGGAAAGCAAGCATTATCTTGCACTGAGCATAGCCTAGTTCTTTTTGGAAATCAGCATAACTCTAATGAAACTTATTTGTATTGTTCTTGTGCGCAAAACTAGATTTACAAAGTTCAGTAACACTGACGCCTGAATCTGAACTGGGAAAGCTCTGTCCGAACATTTTAGCTGGTGGTTGAAAAAATTGCTTAAATTAATTTCCTATAAAAATGTGAATATCTCTTCACAGCTCTCGGTATTGTTAGACTGAACTTTTGTGTAATTATTTTTATATGAATTTACTGAAGCTTTCCCTTTTTCATGAGATTCATATAGGCTTCTAATATGTTATCAGGTCTCATCTGATTTGGGGCTTCAGTAACTAGTTTTTTTTTATTGTCATCATATTCATACTTTTTAGATAGTATTATATTGGTCTTGTTCTTCTCTAAGAATCTATCAGGATTGAGGCAGGCAACTAATATTGTCAAATAAATAAATATAAGAGAGGCTGTCACTAGAGATTATACTGGTTCTTCTTGAAAGATCTCAGTGCATTCCTAGAGTTCAAGGATATCAGAATTGTCATTATTATCTATCTTCATACCATGTTTCTGTTTTAGAAAAATAGGGTTTTTTATTAAGATTAGCCAAGATTTTATTTCAGTTATTTAAAAAACAGATTTTGCCAGTGAGGAAAATGACACCATAATTTGTTTTGTTAATCTGTTTATTTCTCAGATTTTGTGACTTCAATCAGTTTGTCAAGCAATTTAAAAAGCAGTTTAAGCTTTACATGACAGCTCCTGCCTGAGCTTGCAGCATAGAGGCGACACTAAGAAACTTGTAAAATTTCAGATGAATATTGGGTGGGTGGGTGAGAGAAATTTGCTTTCCTTTCTTCCAAGCTGTACATGTTTTGGGTTATTTTTTAAAATCATCTTACTATAGTTGTGAAAATGATATTGTTACAGATATATCTATTGACATGTATCTATACCAGGGGTGGAATTCTACCGGTTTGGCCCAGTTCGGGCAAACCGGTAGCTCCGAGGATCAGCTGGAAGCGAACTGGTTCAGTTTGCTCCAATGATCAGCTGTTGGGCCCACCTGCCCGTCCAGGTTCTAGTCTGTGCTTTATATCCTGGTTTTCAAGCTCAGCTGATTAGTGCAGCAAAGTGAATTGCCGCCCGTTAGCTGTTTAACACACAGGGATTGCTGGAAAAGGTCAGTAGCAAATGTGCTGCGTGTGCACAAAGCGCATGTTTGGCATGCACGCATGTGAAGTGAGCACTCACCAAACCGGTTGCTATACCAGTTGAATTGCGCCCCTGTTCTATACTTCAAAGGGATAGATGGAGATTGATGTGGAATTAAAAAGAGATGAAGCCTCCTCTTTCAATGCTCTCCTTTGTTGACATCTCACATAAATTAACATGAGGTAGCAAAGGACAAAATAAACGGAAGAAAGATATGAGGAAAAACAGAGGAAGAAACTGAAACTTAAATGGGTAGATTTTTGAAGTGAACAATCTATACACCCTCCCTGGTGGCATTATACATAACTGCATGTTTTTAATATACAAGAGAGAGAAAGCTTATAAACGTCACTGAAGTGTAAAAGAATTCTTCAACAATTCATTAACTTCTTTACCCAGAGTCACTGGAGACCCACAACAATCACAACATTACATACTTCCTTTTTGTCCATAATTCCAAAACTTGGTCCTTTCCAAAGATGGTATATTTGAGGGGAGAAAGATCAGTTTTTGAAGGCACATTGGATGACCATATAGCTGTCTCAACCATTCATATGGAAGGAAGGAAGGAAGGAAGGAAGGAAGGAAGGAAGGAAGGAAGGAAGGAAGGAAGGAAGGAAGGAAGGAAGGAAGGAA